ATAGTTTTTTTTTTTTTTTTTTTAGAGTATTCAGTATTTTATAATACTCAGTATTTAGGAGTAATCTTTCTTTTAGAAGTATGTAGTATTTTTAGTATGCTGTATTTCAAGAGTATTCAGTATTTTTGGAGTATTACGTATTTTAAGAGTATCTAGTATTTTAGAATACTCCATATGTTAACAGTATGCCAGAGTATTCCATATCTTAAAAGTAGGCCTATTCGGCGTTAACAGTTTGCAGTATTTTAAGGGTTTTTAGGCTAGTATTTTTATAGTACTCAGTATTTTGCAATACTCAGTATTTTAGGAGTATTCTGGATTTCAAGAGTTTGCATTATTGTCGAGTATTAAATATTTTGGAGTGTATTTTAAGCCTATGCGATTTTTTTTTTTTTTGAGTGTTCAGTATTTTAGAATACTCAGTATTTAGGAGTAATCTTTCTTTTAGAAGTATGTAGTATTTTTAGTATGCCGTATTTTTGGAGTATTGTGTATTTTAAGAGTATCCAGTATGTTAGAATACTCCGTATTTTAAGAGTATGCCAGAGTATTCCATATTTTTTTAAAGTATTCAGCGTTAACAGTTTGCAGTATTTTAAGGGTATTTAGTATTTTTTAAATTTGTGCCCTGTGATTGAAACTGTGATTGAAACTGATTTAATTGAAACCGTTTCAGATAGAGCTGCGGGGTGTGACGTGACGCTGATCGCTGAAAGGCCTTTGGTCTTGAGGACTCGTGTGATTGTGTCTTTGTCGTGCCGCAGTTGTGTTTTGATAACGAGGTCACGTAACAAGCGGCCGTAAACGCGTGCACCGCAGTGGAAGTTCCCATAATGAATCACAAGATTGTTTTTATGAGCTCACTGACTTTCAGTTATTGGCAGTTCCATATTTTTATAGCGTGTTGACATCAGGCTCTGAGAGGGAAGTGCTTCATAAGATCACGAACCACCGGAGATTAACCAAGAAATTAAATGAACAAACAACTGCACACTGATGATTGTGTTAAAGCTGTAGAGTAAAACTGTGAAACAAGGTTTCAGTTAGACATGGCTTTTTTCAGCTGAAAATGCCTAGTTATCCATATCACTTTTGTGTTGGAACACAAGCATCACGCAGTCATTTTTGTGTGAATTCAGCATTTGAAAGCAGCGTTGTACACATGATCTGTGAACGCTGTGAAGCACTAGTGCTCAGGTGAGCGTGTGTTTGCGATCAGCGAGCGTCTGTCGGTTTGTGGCAAGCTCATGAATGCTGGCTAATGTGGGTTATTGCCTGGCAACAATTTAACCAGCGCTTCCAGATGAACTTACAGTAAAATGAACTCGTTTATTGGCGCTTCACCTTTGCTGAGAGGTTAAGTGAACGTGAGCTCTACTCTAATGAGAAGAGACAACGTGTGTGTATTTTTCCCAAATTCTGTTTTATTTTTTTTCCGAATTCCGTTTAAATTTTTCTGGATTCCGTTTTTAATGGTTAAATTAAATTATTAATCAAAAAGCACGTCTAATTAATTAAAATCATGAAACTTACATAATTTCACATCAATTTATTAAAAGTTTACAAAAATTACATTTAAGGCACTATTTTATTTTTTTCTCACCATATGTTTTATTGTTACCAAATTCTATGTTTTAGCATGTCTAATTATTTCAATGCATAAAAACAACATAATTTATTCGGATTTATTCTTACAATAGCCTTAGGAAATGTTTCCTCTGTGTTGTGTATTTACATTTTTCTGGTTATCAAATGAAGGCATAAAAAATTATTTATCTTTTAATTATTGAAAGTTAAACTTTATTTTTTTTGGCAAACGTTCAAATTAAAACATGGAAGAAATGTTGTGTGATTATTCCTTCAAAAAGTACAAATAAAGTTTTAATACTTTATGTACATTCTACTGAACAATAGTTATGTATTTCTGGCTCAATGTCTTCAAGTTAAACCGAACGTTTATTTTGACGGGTTGCCGTGAATACCTTTTAAGTTTCTTAGTGTAAATGATATAGTTTCTCTCAAATGAAACGGTAAAATGCTGATGAAGTGACTCTCAGAGCAGTTCTGGAGATGTTGCTCATGTGTTTATGTCCTCATTCAGTGAGACATCACACGCTTCAGTATGTGTGTAATAAACAAAACCGTTTAAACTGGAGGGGTTTTCTAGTCACGCTTGTGCTTTTGAGAAGAGTTATGTTCGGGACGAGTCGGCAGCCGTGTGCGCTCTGGGAATGTGTGTAACCTTCGACCTCGTGGGTGTGTTCAGCAGCAGAAGTTCACCCAAAACTCACTCTGAAAGGGCCGTGTTCCTGCATCTGCCCGTAACGCTCCCTGTTTTTATACTGATAAACTCTCCAGGATCTCTGGGTCTTTCCCTCACCGCGGTGCTGTGAAAACAGCTTTATTTGAGTCGGGATTCGAGCTCGGGACGGCTGTAGCGCTGTATATCGACACGCTGCCCACAAGGCTATCGGCGCAGACGAAACATCCTTCACAGTGGATAAATTCAGATCAAATTCTTTGGCAATATTCCCATCTGTTTGACTTAGGCATTGCTAATTAATGTACACGTGTGTAAATGTAGGGCTCTATGAAATCCGTTTTATTTTCTCACCTTCTGTTTTATTGTTACCAGACTCTGTTTAAGCATGTCTAATTATTTGAATGCTTAAGAACAACTTAACACCATTTTTCCAAATTGTGTGTATTTTTTTTTTTTTAATTGATTGTCGTTTTGATTTTTACATTTTTTGGACTGTGTGTATTATTATTTAATACAAATTTATCATTAAAAACACTGGTGAGCAAATTGATAGCTGACCAGTTGTGTTCCTATGAATTATATTAATCAGTTCATCTTTTATCTATTTTTATCATGTGTTGTTATTGACTAATAAAAGCCCATGATAAGTTGAGCGTTGTGGGCTGATCAGTTAAAGTTTGGGATCAGAACTATGTTTAATGTGTTTAAAGAAGTCTCTTCTGCTCATCACGGCTGCATTTATTTGATCAAAAATACAGAAAAAAACTGTAATCTTGCAAAATGTTATTACAATATAAAATAATGGTTTCTATTTTAATATCCTTTAAAATATAATTTATTTCTGTGATGCGCAGCTGTATTTCCATCATCATTACTCCAGTATAAAGCATCACATGATCTTCAGAAATCATTCTAATATGCTGATTTATTATTAGAATTCTCAACAGTTGCGCTGACAAATATTTTTTTGGAAACTGCGATACTTTTTTCAGGATTCTTTGATGAATAAAAAGTTAAAAAGAACAGCATTTATTCAAAATATAAATATTTTCTAACAATATAAATCTTTGCTGTCACTTCTTAACAATTTAACACATCCTTGCTGAATAAAAGTTTTAATTTCTTTCAAAAAAAGAAAGAATAAAAATGTTCGGGTAGTGTATATAGTTGAACACAAGCCTCGTATGCTTATAATCAGCCCCACTCTGTTTTAGTTTTTTCTCTATTTTCATGCTACAAATGTACCATAAATACGATGCACTTTGTAGAACTGTGACTCGTCCTGTTGTCAGATCAGAAGAAGGAGTCTCGGTCTGTTCTCAAATGTAGAAATCGAGTTATCTGATTATCATCTCTGAGCGTTTAGAGACTTAAGATGTTGTGGCTGATGTTCTTGAATTGCTATAAAGCTCTAGACTCACATCTGGCTCCCATCAGCGGCTCTAGAGTTGCTCGAGGAGCGAGACAGCGGTGTGTTTTGATAACCGTGAGGTCACACTTATTCTCGACGATATTTTGTGTATATTGAGTGTGTTATTGTGCTGGTATCTTAAGGACTGCTGTCAGTTCACAGCAGTGATAGAAATGAATCTTTTCCAATAAGTTTAAACTGATTTTTACATCTTATGGGTATTTTTACCTTTATAAAGCCATTTTTTCTAATAGTGTCCATTATGTTTTGAGTCAAACTTTTTTACATTTAATCAGTGAATTAGAATAATGAGACATTTGGGCTGTTAGCAAGCAAATGAAATCAGCATCAATAAAATTCATCTTTGCAGTGCAGAGGAAACACAGAAGCTGCGTCTGAAGTGATATTTAGATGTGTTTACACACTGTTTAATGCTGTGCGTTTAACCTGCGGTTACAAATGCATAAAGAATGTTTTGATATATTAAACATAAAACGTTGAATACTGATATTTGAAATTATTTAAATAATAAAATACACTTTAAGTGTGAAATTAAAACCACCAGCAGGTGGCAGCAAGTCACTGTTAATAAGTGAGTCATTGCGACTGAACCGAATCATTTAAACGAGTGATTCATTCAGGAACGAAACACCGTCATGTTGCTCAGAGACGCAAAACAGCGCTGTGGCTTTGATTGGAATTATTTTTGTTGTCAAAATAGCGCAAAAACATGAAATATGGTGTCTAAAACGCAAGTCTCTTAATATTAACTTCTTGTTTATTGAACTGTTGTAAAAATCAATATCACATTTGTAATCATGGTAATATTTGGAGAAAAACGGCACTCTTCGTGTGAAAATGACTACTATATGAAGTGGTATAAATATATACATTTTCTGCCTCCATGTCTTGAATTTGTGATCATGCTAAATGTAGACTGAATCATGCAGTTAAAGAACGCACTCTAATATAAGAGCAGTAGTCTAGACTTCACGTGATGTGTGCGTGCGCTCTGTAGGGGTGTTTTGAATGGTTTTTGCAAAATACTCGATAATGTCAAATCACACATCGTTAAAACAACAATTACGATATTATCGCAGAAGATATATATCACACACCCCTAAGTGAACGTGGCACGTGTGACGGTTGAATAATGTGATTGATGTGCATCTTATAAGCAGACAGAATACTGTGTGTAAATCTCTATCGGCTGACGGGATCCTGTCCTGTTCTGTGTCCAGGCTGAAGAGCGTTTGGTACTGATGTGGGAGTGATCGGATCGGATCAGCGCGGCACTCCAATGATGAGCTTCACTAGAACTGTCCTGCACTGGAATGGACTGTGGCAAACATGTGTGTTGCCACGGTGATTATTCACACTAAAACACTGGAAAAGAAGGCCGTCGATGATGTAGCATCCACAGAGTCTCTGCAGCTGGTAAGACCACGGCGCTTCACATTAGAGACGTCAGGCGTCATGCATAATTTACTCCCTAATAATAGGATGATTTCACACACGCTGCTCCAGTTCCAAGTAGATTCAGTTTAATCAGATCCATGACAGTCTAGTTTGTAATAATTCTCATTAGCTCATCTGCAGTAATTTTTAGGGCTGTAGATTTAACACGTTAATTTGGCGCGGTTAATTTTGGAAGAAATAACACCTGTCCATTATCTTACATTGATACAGTGTCTGATGAACATGATGCAGGACAACTGAGGCTGTTAGAATGCAGTGATATGAGCCTAAAATTCAACATATGAGCGCAAAAAATCACCCCTTTTATATTTATATCATATGATATAGTTGAGCAGTATCACACCAGCAGGAGTGCTGTTTTCCCCTAGTATCATTACAAAACGTGATTTATACAGCAGTTCAATATACAAGAAGTTCATATTGCCGTACATTTTAGACACAATATTGTCAATTTTGAAAACAAAAAATAGTTCCAATCAAAGCCACAGCAGGGCTGTTGTGAATAAGTCCATGTTTTTGAATGAATCGAGTGAGTTGATTCAGTGACTCATTCATAAGGGCAGTCAGCTTAATTTCTGAATAAATCAACTGTTGGAATGAATCTGTTGAATGAATGATTCAATGACTCACTCATTAAGACTCGCTGCCACCTACTGGCGCTTTTAGTTTCATATTTAGATTATCATTTCATTTTTTGACCTGGATGCTCATCTGATCCGTCTGTGTTTCTACAGCGTGAGCCGCCGACCATGAGCCAGGGGACGGCCCTCTTCTCCTGCGGGATTATGGGTAAATGCAAATACACTGCTGTCTTTATAGCGATCAAACGTCTTTCTGTTCTGCATTTGCTCCGTCACTGATTGGATCAGCGTATCTTCACCTCAATGAAAGAGCGGAATAGAAAGTGTGCCGCGCTCACATCTGATACCCATGAGGCCTAGTTTCAGACGCCACAGGTGCCAGCGTCTCCGAGCCGGTGTCACGTGTGAGCAGCTCGATGTTTGTCTCCAGAACAACTGCTCTCAGAAAACAGAGGTAGTAAAAGAATGGAGCCAGTCTTTGAGTGGAATAAACAGAGTTGAGTGATCAGTAGGGTTTTGTGCTGCGTCAGATCGATGCCCACAGCGGTGTGTGCTGGTTAGGCTGTCTTTGTTTTGCTGCGTGCCCACAGCCAGAGCATTTCTGCTTTTGACTTGAGAAAAATGCCCCTCTGCAACGAGAAGCGCTGCTGTTCTGATGCGCTGGGTGTGAACCTGAGCCACCTGAGGGACATTTTCCAAGGGCCCCCTGATAATTATAACAGTGATTAAGCACATGCTTACTATAATTTACTGTATACTCTTAGATGGCGTTAGAACTTAAATGTTTGTGGAATTTTTCCTTTTTCTGGATTGCATTTGATTTTTCTGGATTATGTTTTTCTGGACTCAATTTTAATGGTTAATTTTAATTTAAATAATCTAAAAGCATGTCTAATCAATTGCATTTATAAAACTGTAATAACTTAATATTTTATTACGTTTTTACAATAATATGGCCGTATGAAATATTTATTTTTTTCAGAAATTCTGTGTTGTCTGCTTTAAATTTTCTGGATTTATGCATTAATACAAATTTATTATTAAAAACTTTAATGATCAAAACATTAACAATTGAATCTTTTAAAATGTAATCAAATAAATTCAACAATTTCTTTCATTTCTAAATGTATTATTATTATGATTATGGTCTGACTCTAGTAGCTCTGAAGATGAAATTTGTGTGTTCATATAGTGAGACGCAGACAAGCGCCACATGTGCTTCAGTATATGTAGAGCAAACTGAGACACCGTAGAGCAGGGATCCTCAAATCTGGCCCACGAGATCCACTTTCCTGCAGACTTCAGCTCTAACCCTAATCAAACACACCTGAGCATGCTAATCTTTGTCTTCAGGATCATTAGAAAATCACAGGTAGGTGAGTCTGATCAGGGTTGGAGCTAAACTCTACAGTGCATTGGCCCTCCAGGGCAAGATTTGAGGAACCCTGCCGTAGAGTATAAATATATAGTGTAGAGTGTTGAATGTAGTATAGAGTGTAAGTAATATAGAGTGTGAGTACATAGTATAGAATGTGAGTATGTAGTATAGAAAGCATGTAGTATAGATTGTGAGTAATATAGAGTGTGAGTACATAGTATAGAATGTGAGTATGTAGTATAGAAAGCATGTAGTATAGATTGTGAGTAATATAGAGTGTGAGTACATAGTATAGAATGTGAGTATGTAGTATAGAAAGCATGTAGTATAGATTGTGAGTAATATAGAGTGTGAGTACATAGTATAGAATGTGAGTATGTAGTATAGAAAGCATGTAGTATAGATTGTGAGTAATATAGAGTGTGAGTATGTAGTATAGAGTGTATGTAGTATAGAGTGTGAGTATGTAGTATAGAGTGTA